TTTGTTCATGTATGTTTTGTGTTTGTTGTAAAAATAAAAAAAACATTTATAAAAAAAAAAAGAAGAAGTGATAATGGCCTGGTTGGTCCATAACACTAGGCTGAAACCAGAACAACATCATGGCTTAGCTTGATGCATGAACAAAGGCACTGTTTCTCATAAACAGATCAGGGCTAAGAAATCATGAACAAAATGTAGCTTCTAACTTTAGCTTGTTGGAAAAGGGGTAATTCAGAAAGGAGTTTCAGCGCCCATTTATCTGTACTACTGGAAGGAGCAGGGATTGAGACGTGTACATTTGCACCCCCGTTCATTCATGGGTCAACCAGAATCCTTAGTACATCCTGATTTTCTGTAACATGCAAACCTTCCTTTGCTGATCAGGTCATATTCATGTTGTTGACTGTTAAGCTGCGTTTGAGGCCTCAGTCATCAAATAATGTTATGAACCTACATGAAAGAGAACAACATTGAAAAACCCTTGATGATGCTTGATTATGAAAAGCAGAAAGAGGTTTATAAGAATAGTTGTGGAGTAGCAGTAAAGGTGATGCTAGGATGACATGAGAAAGCCTTTTCTCTTACAATAAAATTATTGCAGAGATGCTCGAAGGAGGGAGGCAGGTAAGACTTTGTTTGCTGCCTAAACTTTCTTCTTGAATGCAGGTAATCAAGTGATATGCACTTACCAAATTGAAAAACCAAACCAAACTGAATTCACAGTGAGACACTTGGAACCTAGCACAACATACTGGTTTGCACTTCAGGCTTACACTGTCAAACCTGAATATATCATCAATGACAATTTTACTCAAGTGATTACAAAAGATGATAGTAAGTCCTGCTGAGTTGTATTTATTCACTGTTGTCATAAACATTGAACTTCTCTGAATTTTGGCAGCTTGAGAGATTGGTGTATTCAACCCATACCTTTATTTTATTTTATTTTTTAATCATTTTTTAATATAATAGCTCACATTTCTACCTATAAAGGGTATGAGATGGCTAATAGTCTAAAAATAAAGCAATTAAAGTAAGTAATATTATTATTAAGGCAGTCCAAAAGAGCTGGTTGCAGAGGTAGGGCCTAACTCCTTTTCTGAAAGTATTGTGAATTTAAATGCATCTTTTGTGGAAGTTTTGTGGAATGAGAGGAAGCCTGGGCCAGCATGAATTTTTAAGAAGTTCTTCCATCAGACTTAATATCCAGATAGATTTCCACCAACAAAGGCGGTTTCTGAGATAGGCCCCAAACTGAGATTAAAAGTTTAAAACCTTGAACCCCACATTCTGAAATGTATGGATAATCTTACATTATTATTTCACTGTTTTCCTAATTGTCACCAGTTTGCTATTATTCCAAGATATTTTCAATTGATTTCTTTTTGGTGCAATCTTAATGCAAGGGTTACCTTCCATCAGCTTGTTGGGGCAATTCAAAACAAATGGAATATACTTTCATTATCCACCAACCAAGTTTCCTGACTCTTCAAAGGTAACCAGTCATACTGGTTACATCTGAGATACATCTAACTGTGATGTAACCCAAGTCTTAAGTAACCACGGACAAATTCAACTGTCCCAGGAATGTGGGCTAGCAGCTTATTGGATGTCAGGTACCAATGCACTCCTTGCCACTGCTGCTATCTAGAGACTTCTGGAGTACAAGGAGTACCACTTGTGGGTTTCTTATGTTGGGAGTGCAGCCTTCATGAATGCTGAGTGAGAGTGAGTCAAAACTCAATGTGCTTTTGCCTTGACTTGGGCCAGACGTGAAAGATTAAGATTTGCCAGCTGTGAAAGTAAGTGTGCTATCTGGAGATAGATAGGTTAGACAGATAGATAGACAGATAATAGAGAGATGATAGCTAGCTAGATATAAATAGATATTGATAGATATATATAGAGAGAGAGTGGATGGATGGATGGATGGATGGATGGAT